GAATGGTTGAGGGGGGTTGCGATAGAGGGGCGGGGGGGCGTGAGAGAGGTGACGGCGTGAATGCAGCATCCTGGGTGCGTAGCAGCGCTGCTGCTCAACAACAGCGCTCGCTCAAACCGCTCGGCCGGCTCCAGCCCTTTCCCCATGGGCCCCTTGGCATCACCGCTGCGCACCTTGGTGGCCAGCTGCTTGCGGGGCGCCTTGCCACCGGTGGACTTGCGGGCTGTCTGCTTCGTGCGGGCCATGGTGGCTGATGCTGTTGTTGCTTCTCGGTGCGGTGAGCAGAGGGTACTGGAGGTTGCTTGTGAGCTGGCAGTAAGCAACGGCGATGGTTATCAACACCGTGCGAGCATATCCAGCTTCCATATGCCTTCCCTCGCTCATACGGCAGAGGACGAAGCTCGCGGGTAGCTGGCTCCGGGGTGCGAAGGCAGCACGAAGCTGGGCTCGTTCGTTGCTCCACGGCGTCCTTCAAAAGCCGTTTGTTCGCCCTGAGCCAGCCACAACACTCACTGCTTCGGCACAGCACACCCAACACAACAACACCCATCAAACATGTCTGGACGCGGCAAGGGCGGCAAGGGCCTCGGCAAGGGTGGCGCCAAGCGCCACCGCAAGGTGCTGCGCGACAACATCCAGGGCATCACCAAGCCCGCCATCCGCCGCCTGGCACGCAGGTGTGGGGCATGGTGCTGGTTGGGTTAGCCAGTTGGGGTTGGGGCAGTGGCGCATCGTTGACTTGCGCAGCTGCTGCCTGTGGTGGTGCTGCTCGCTGCACTAAAGAACTTTCTCCTTGTCCTCACCCTCCCGTCCCCACCCACCTTTCAACTCTCTTCTCCAGGGGCGGTGTCAAGCGCATCAGCGGCCTCATCTACGAGGAGACCCGCGGCGTGCTCAAGGTGTTCCTTGAGAACGTGGTGCGCGACGCCGTGACCTACACCGAGCACGCTCGCCGCAAGACCGTGACGGCCATGGACGTCGTCTACGCGCTCAAGCGCCAGGGCCGCACCCTCTACGGCTTTGGCGGTTAAGCGGCCTCCCGGCCGCTGCTGCTGTGATGCCCCTCACCGGGCACGCATGCAAACCACACCCCAAAATCGGTGGCTCTTGCCACCACCAAACCATGACACTGTTTCTGCGTGGGCTGAATGGGCAGACTGCACAGCAGAAGATGATTGTTGCGCACATGTTTATCGAGGGAACGAAAGGCTGTGATTGTTGTGCAACCAGCACAAGATGTAGGAAATGCCTTGTGTGAGGGAAGTGGACTTGCTAGTGGGCCTTCCTTGTCAGTACACAAGGGTTGACTCTGCTAGGGGCTCGTGGCATGTGGGCAACACCACACGAAGAGGCTAGGGTTCGAGACACCGTATGCAACACCGTGTTTTTGGCGCACTGGGCAGCAGCGATGCTTGGATGTGTTGCTGCTGCTAATGAGGGGGGCACAGTGCCATGGATGCATTGGCTGCCCACAGTCTTGACTGGCCAACAACCCTCAGCTTTGTTGCATATGACACAGCTTGCTGCCAAGACCAAGCGCACACAGATGTGGTGAGAAGGCATTGCAGTGAAACCCACGGCTGCTGGGCTGCCTGTACCTATGCCACAACAGTGGTTGCAGTGCATGCACAAGGTGCATTGCACTGTTCACTGTGTGCTGGCGTCAAGCTGGGGATCACGCTGAAAGGTAAACCACAACGCTTTTTTGCCTTAACAACAACTAAAACACAGTACAGGTACAAGCCATCATGTCGTTGGCGGGTCAATGTGTTTGGCATGATCTCACTCGCAGGCAGCAACCCGGCGACACCAAACATCAATTGCAGCCAGGGCCTGTCAGGGATCATGGTTTGGTGGTGGCGAGGGCCACCGTTTTGGGGTGTGTGGTCGTGCCGAAGGGCGCAACACAGATGTACTT